AGAACAATATGGTTCGAAATCCTCACAAAATTTCTAACAGTAAGCACTTACTTCCACGATCGCTCACTCTGCAGGATTCCACCAAGGAGCGAATAAAAAATGGCACTTTTGCGATAACAGCATTATGAAGAGCATCACACCAGTAACTGTTTCGAACAACGGCTCCACTGAACAAGTACGCCAATTCTACCAACTGCCACGAGTGAATTAAATGAAGCCGTTTTGAAGCATCAGTACAGCACAGAAAACTGTCACGGGTGTTCAGAGCAAGGGAATCATCAAAACTGCTCAGTAACTGTAAAAAAAGAAAAACAATCTCTTACAGATTAGCAATATTTCTACACAACGCAATTACTTTTGAACCCAAATTGTTTCTTTCGATGGAATGACGTAAGTTCAACACGTTTCCTACCCCGAACTCTCGACCGCTTAAAAAAGTGACTTCAAAGACAAATTAAAAAAATCCATATTATCTTACCTCCGGATTGAGCTCTTCATTACATGAATTCAAATGTCTGCCTACCAAGGATGATGAGGCAACATTCGAATCCTCTTGTGGCACAACAAGCGGAGAAAGAACACTAAAATATAAATCTCAAGAGATAGCATAATCACACCTAACTAACAACACATAAATAGTTTAATAGCAAAATTTACTACATAGAAAACTACTTCAAAAACTTAACTACATAAAAAACTACTTCAAAAACTTAATCTTCAGATTGTCGTCATCTGAAAGGACAGTGAAACCTCTGTTGAACTTAGCCGTATTTTCACCGTCGTGTAAAGTAAGACATGCAAGTCCACTTCCACTTGGTTGACTAACATGTAAATTCCGAATAACGATAACGTCGCCAGCCTAAATTAAACAAAAGTGCCAGCAGCAATTAAATTTAATGTGCCAATAATGCCCAATAAAAACAAACTTTCAGATCTCTGCAAGCTTTATCCCCGTGATCACCAAAAAGAACAATATCGTACGCCAAGCAACCAGCTTTTTCTTCCAAAAGTGGATCTAATACAATCACTTCCTTTATCTGTGAAACTTCGAATCTGAATAACTTTTTACTCCTAAAATAAAAAAGCGATATGCAGGATCAAAAACTGTGTATTGCGAGCCCCGTTAAGTTTTTTACTCCCTGGATGTAAAAAAGCATAACACATTTCAATATCACTTTAGAATTCGTACCATGTAATTTCAGTACCATCCCAACACCGCATTGCAATCTTACTTCTCTCAGTCACCATCAATCCTATCACCTAAAAAGCATCAAAAAGCCAATAATACAGTTAAAAAACCATCACAATTATTCAGTATGTCTGTATTGTGAATTTTCAATTAGGGAGTGTGTGAAAAAAAAAAAAAAGATGAAAAGAAGTCAATTGGAGCCTACAACTACTGCTTGCTTAGCTAAGATAAATTTTTGGGTGTTGAAAATAATACAATTAACTGCCGAGGTCTGCCAAGAAAAAAATAAGATGAAATAGAAAAAGCAACAACAACAGACTAAAAATGAAACCTTACACCCTTTTTCATCATCCAACTTGGTAAAAAAAATTTATATTCTTACGATGTGCTGCCACTTAACAGTGTTCATAATTCGTTTACAGACAAAAGTAATAAACATTCTTCAAGAAACAAACAATTATTTGAAATATACAGCGATTGAAGTGACTAAAAACAGCAACTCCTTCCTTTCCAGAAAAATTCCAACGAACACTACACGTAACGATCAGCTTACCTTCGGTCCCTTACTCCACTTGTAAACGTATGTCTTGAAGTCATCCACAAATAATAAACAAACCTGCACCACCACATTGTAGTACTCGAACTTGCGCATAAATTTAAACTGTGTATATTCTAACGGCACAACAGCCCGTACATCGGCCATATCCCAGCGTTCTTGATCTGTTCAGCCAGAAATAACTTTTAAACAGGCACCTTCATTGTAATTGGATTGTGAAATAAATTGAGGTGAAACGCTAACATGTACTAAAAAATAGGAGAAATAGAATTAAGGCAAATAAAACCTTAGTAGGTCTCAACGAATTGGAATAATTTGTCCAACAACTTATCACCAAAACTCGCATAAAATTTCAACAGTCGCAAAGAGTTCGTGATAAACACTGTTACCGGCACAAAGCAATGAATGTAAAGCTATATCAAGCCGCACACAGATTTGCGGAAAACTGATAACCATAGGAGGGTTCATTTCTAATTCGGCAAAAATTAATTAGTAAAAATACGTCATTTGGAGGGAATCCAACACTTTTGGAACGTCCTCAACTCGTTTTGTAAATGTTATACGAGCGACATCCCCAAACGCATGTTAAACTTCCTCAACACATATCTATAGAAAATGTTACTAATAATAATTAGTTCCTTGACATTTTTTATCTTCTTTCTAATTTGGGACCCTTCTTTTGCTAAAATTACGGTAGAAATGTGCAAATACCTCTATTTTTTAACCCTTCTTTTTTACCTACCTACTCTCACTGCTTTGCTTAATGTCAGCGACTACTTGTTGTACTTTCGTTACTGTAATCTACACATCCGTTAGATGAAAAAGATGTTAAGAAGTACAGGTTAACTTCCAAACACGGTGAGCAAATAGTCTCAAAGTAAAAATTGGAAAGACTCAGGAGAGCAGAGCTTTAAGCACGTATTGGTGAAAAAAAAGTGCAGAAAAGTGAGAAAAAATCCTTTGACTATCCCTAGCTGGCGTCGATTTTCGCCGATAGAATTCATCTGAAACTGAATGAAATACGAAGCTATGAAATAAGCGCACCCAAAGAGCAATGTAGACAGGAAAAATGACAAAGTTCTAGGTAAGTTATATCAACTGATGTAAGCAAGGATAAAAAAACGGAGAAAAACAATTAATTTTTACCAGTTCAGGAAATAAAAAGTTTCCCTCAAAACACCCGATAAAAGTGCCTCGAAAAGTAAACGATTCGGGGATTACATGTGCACAGGTGAAGATACGCCCCCCCCCCTTCCCCCCTAAAACTGCAGCTTTCGTCAAAGCCGGATACAAATTTTTGAACAACAATGAAAAACAAAGCTTTTACGATGGAAGAATCGAAGAAAATTTACAAATAATGCTCAGGTTGTAACTGTCGTAATATTTGCACACTGTTTTAACGGAAAAATCTCATTGATCAGTATTTTCTGCAAAATAATATATACTTTGTAAACTTAAATTTAGCAGACTCAAACATCAAATGAAGAAAAAAAATCAGTTGAAAGTGAGCTAAAATAACCTACTTCTTTGTATAAATAGTATATTTTAAAAAAAAACTAGAATATTCATCCCACAAATAAACCGTGTAGACCTCAAAAAGATACCTGTCAGGAAATAAAGGTGAGAAATAAACGGATAACGAAGAGGATAATTTCTGACAAAAAAAAAAATTAAGCAATATAACAGTAACGGAAACCAACGCCTAAATTATATCTCAGCAAATACACTTCAGCAAAACTAAATCTGGTAAAATTTAGCAAGCATTATGCAGGCGTAGTTGTTACGAAAATAATGACGCCAAATACCCCGGAGACCTCTCAGTGTATTCAACCCGGCAAATACGCCTTAATTTGAATCCGGGTCAACATTCTTATGCGCCGCCAACCAACCGCGTCACTGTATCGCTTATGTGGACTTCGCAAATTCCGCAAAGATCATCCAAACAAGCTCTAAGAGCACCTTCTCTAGCCGGCTCTTTATTCTCCAGAAAACTGTCGATTTTCGGCGCATTCGAATTCTCTAGAACAACTGGCTTATCCTATTTTGCGCTTTTGCCTGAAAGATCTAGTGCAGTGATTCTGCTTTTCGGTTCATTAATCATTGCTCGCATGACTGCTTCTTTGCGGTGGGGAGACCATGACCAGAAGTTATAGATTTTTACCAGGTCGCAGAGTTGAGGCTACGATCGTCGCAAGCAGCGCACGACGTAATTAGCCGCGAATTAGTTGTTAGTCTCCTTTTGCTGGTGGAGATGGAAGCCGACCTGTCTATTGGCCGGTTACTAAATTTGAAAAAAAAATGGATAGTTGGCTGCCGTGCCTGTCGCATTGGTTGCACAGTACGCGTATCCCGAGAGAACGTGCGATGGATCAAGTAAATCAGCTTCTGAAAAAGTAATTATTTTAATAGTTAATGACTGCTCAAGTTCCCTTGAATATCCTTAAATATCTTCCGCTTCTTAAATTTCAGAAAAATAAAATTTCTAGAAAGGCCCCAAAGTTACGCTAAGTACTTCAGACATTTGTTCCTTTTTTGCACTATTTGTACCCAAATTCCCCCTCTTCGTGAATATTAATTGATTAATTTTTTTCACCTTTTCTTAGACAACATTTTTTTGTAAACAACTAAGTTTTACAACAGTAATATAACATTTATTAATCAACGTCAACAGCGGAGGTGATTCTAGCAGAATGATTTTTCTTTTTTTGCGGTTCCACTGCATTTAGATATACGGCTCCAAAATCTGGACTTTTTACAACTTTAGGTTTTCCCGTCCACTTCTTGAAATTCTTGGCATTTGATGCTTATTTGTGACTTCACATCTTGCACAGTTTCATAAAATTATATGGTGTAATAGATTTTTTACAACCGCAATTCTATAAAGTTCTGCCGGTTTAAGCCTGCTCAGATCCCACCAGTTTACTGATTTTTCCACACTTCCTTCTAATTAGTCCAGAAAATAACTAAGCACCTACACATTTTTAGCTCTGTACATAGCAATTATTCAACTTCTTTGCAAGATGACTGAATAAATTCGCAGCGAACACTTCCTGATAAAAAACATCTTCACTACCTCCACTTTTTGTTTAGCATTGCATTTTAATTTGCTAGCTTAACCTTGCTTTAGGTCACCAGTGACTTACCACAAGGTTAGTCTGCACAGTGCAGACAGGCTTTTTAATCAGGGAGCTTACCGGACGTGGAACTAATTCCGATAGCGTCTATTTTTTGATCTGAATTGGCATCTGCTTACATCAAATGTTGCAATTTGTAGAATCTTGTGGGACTTTATAAAGTCCAAGATTATGCTTCAATTCTCACTTGTTAAAAAGTAAAGAAGAATTGCAGAGATATTATCTTAAATGTTGAATACAGTGAAGTCAAGATTCTCGTGTACAAAAGAAAGAAGTAGCGCTTTTTCAGCAGCTCCTCGAAAATCATTTCAAATTCCGTTCTTCTGAATGGGGACGTGAGTTATGATATTACTGAGAGTTTAAAAGTTAACTTTTTTACAAGTATACTAAAACTATGTGGAATTTGTCGTTACGGTGGGACTACAGAAAACTGTTGAATCAGGCAGAGGTGCACTGTACATTCGGACCTCTTTCCGGTGTGTTGAAACTAAAAAAGTCATGCTTTTTAGAAAAACTTCTGATTTCCTTTCTGCACCACGCTCTACCTTCTTCTTATCTCCCCTCCCAAAAACCAAAAAAAGTAGATGAAAAGATAAGCGGAATAGGTCCAAACTTCTGATTCAATTTTAACCTAAGGAGGGATCAAATGCTTGGTACTTAGTAAGCAAGCACTTCGTTTTTTAAATCTCATTTTTCCTTGTATATGACCACATTGTTCACATTTCCTTGAATAAATGATTTACAGCAAGTGTGTAGCGGAAAAGCACTTAGTTGTCCTTAGTCTCAATTTCTATTACCAACTAAGTGCTAATGGGAGAAAAATTGATGAATTAAAAAGATAAACGAAATACTACTCAATAGAAGTTTGAAAACGATAGACGATGATAGATAGATTTAACCGTGAAAATCAAAGATAACTGGCTAAATAGCTATGTAGAACGAAAAGAGGGAGAGGACAGAATGGGTTCGGTTCTTCCTAATTCTTTTCACCTGTAGAGAGTTAGGAAACAAATAAAACCTTTTCTCAGTGGTGAATTCTTTCCGAGGTATTCGATTGTTTGTAAAATCTTCTGGGCGTCATATCTTGGAAATGGCTGGTGCTTAGCTGAAAAACCAGGAGGTTTTTTTACTATACGGTTCCAACTTCTTAATTATATACATAATTCTAAGCCTTCTGGGAAGTGTTTGAAATAAAGTAACTCAAGTCATGTACGCATTTGCAAGCAGAATATTCATAAATAAGTGAAAACAATACAAGGTTTGAATGAACGATTCTTATACAATATGAAAATTCTTGTTGACAAGTCTAGTTTTTCTCTTTAAGAACTTGTCTTCTTGACAAATACTAAACACCTTATTAAAAAAACGTTTTTTAATTGTGCTTTCGTTTATGATTCATAAAAAAACGTTCATTCAAACCAAGTTTTAAGAAATTGAACAGAAATAAGGACAAATATATTTAAAGCAGATCTCATATTAAGGTATTTGCTCATAAAGAGTCAAGTGGGAATAAGATACAATGCTTTTTGCCGAAAACTTCTGCCGGACCGTTTTGGACAGTTAAGAATTCCTTACTATTCTAAATTCCTAAAATAAACTAAAAAGTTAAAAATTTCTTGGTCTATGTGTAAATGAAATGTTGAAAGTAGTGGAAGCTCTCAAGTTTTTTTTTAATTTTGCAATTTGAGAGGATACTTTCAAGAAAAAGTCGGCGCTAACTTTAGCAGTCCCAGAATACACACTTTTCCGCTAAGTCATCCGAAAGAAAAAAAAAAAAAGAAACCATTCCGCCTAGAAACGTTCTAGTAAATTTTTTTCAGATCTACATCGATTTCTGAATAGTCTGGCTGCAGAAGCTGAAAACAGAGTTTTTGCTTTTATTTTTGCTTTTAATACTAATTTGTCCGACTATCTAGATTTTAAAGTTGTTAAAACACACTGAAGATTTTATTTGACAGTTATATCGTTGCAGCGTTAACCATTCACAGACTGCAGCGAATAAGAAGAATTTAG